CCCATTCAAACAAATGCACAACTTCTTTGTTTTTATAGAATGTAAAATCTTCCAAAATTGTTGATTTTTCTAACATAACTAGAAGTGACGTAGATTGTTTACTATTCAACTAGTATTTTACGGTGAATGTAGCTGTCGAATAACTCACGAATCTCTAATAATTGAAAGCATAACAATTGGCTTCCAATTGGCCAAATGAAAATTGTTACATAATTTCATGTTTGTGTAGAATTGATTCATGGCCTAAATCTACATGACAACTCTTCCACAAGAGTGAATAACTAGATCACTATATTCCAAAACCGTTAATTTCCCTTCTTTTGGCACATTAATTTCTCCATCTAAGCTCTTCACGTATTTACTTAAAAATCAAACAACCATATCGCGTTTTCGGATCTAATTTTCGTATATGTTTTCTTTTTCTCTTTGTTTTAAAAAACAATCATATGTATTATATACATCAACGCATATCTCAACCTTATGAATTCCATTCGTTAAGATGATACGGCAAGTTTGTGAAATATTAAAAAATTATATGCTTGCAAATTTGTGTAATAGTATAAAAATTACTTGTAGTTGGAGTGGGTCAGTGGGTGGTAATGTTTTATGTGTAGAAACGAGCATGCACACACATTTTAATATAGTTTCTTGTGCACAAAATATAATTGCTGACATATCGAATAATGCACTCATCTACGCATCGCTCCACGACCTTGGCATTTGCCCGTGGACCGTGCTGCAAATACCTTCTTTTTTTTTAGAGTGCAAATGCAAATACCATTATTGTGCCACAATCTACAAACAGTCCAACCGCATGTAAATTATTCTTAAAAACGAGCAAATGAATTGTTTTTATAAATTATTGATTAAACATCTACATTTTTAAGTGGGATAATTACATGCACGTATGGCCATATGGGTGGTAGTAGATCACATCATTTTGAAAAAAGCAATGAACATCAACGTTTGAAGTGGACTCGAGACACTAAAACGCCGTAATATGAGGTCGTTTTGTATGCATTTTTCGGCAGTGGCGAATCTAGAGCCTTAGTAGGAGGTGCATTTGCCCACCATGA